GTTGACAAAACCTTAAAGTTACTTTCAGAAATTTTATTTCACACATGACTATTAAATTCATCTCAAATTTGTGAGATAATTTAATTAATATAAAACTAAAACAATTTATTTCTCTACTTATTTCACCTCTACGTAAAGAAGGTGCGTCTTCTAATGCAAAAAAAAAATCGGTAATTAAATTTGATATTAATATGTATTATTCATTTTTATATGAATTATTCATTTGTTCACTTTTGAAATAAGTATTATTCTGCAAAAATGAACACTTGATATGTGATAACAGTTTTAATGTAATTCGTATTTGGACGGTTATGGAGAATGAAATAAAACGGCAATACCAAGTTGGAGATATTTTATCGTGCGGGGGAGAAAGCGCTAATCAGCGTTTTATCGAGACTTTCTTGTTTGCTGTTTGCATATGTACATATACAATTGTACTTGTTTTTTTTTTGTTGTTGTTGTTGTTTGTTTTTGCTCTCCACAACATGTGTGTACGAATGTGGAACGTGTCGTTGCGATATTGCACAGATTTGCCTTTTCCTCCGTTCCGATTTCGTTCCCGCAATTAGGAATGGGCTATTATGACACAGACTGAGATGGAAATATCGGACGTGCGTTCGCGCATTTAACAGACTACCGGATATTGTATAATCGGAACTATAGATAATAATAAGAGAGGGCAGAGATACAGATTGTATGCGTGTATGCATGTTGTTTTTTTTTTTTTGTTATGAAGAGAGGAGGACGTTCGATAACTTTTACACCGTGAATCCTGGACAGAGCGCCAATTCTTTGGACCGCATCACCAGCGGATATCCTTTCGCCACGTTTCCTTCGGCTCGTTTACATCACAATACAAAAATCAAAATGACAAAGCAAATCGATTTACTAATTCAGATGATCTAATTTCAATTAATCTTACTCAAAGAATTAGAAGTCTTCAGAAAACATATATTTTTATTTTTGCTTTGAGTGGTTTCTTTCGTTGCAGCGAGTTTTTCAAAGGGCACTTTGTTAATTGCCGTTAAGCATTTTAAAAGTGGCTGCATTTGTGCAGTTTACACATGTTTTAAAGTCAACTAAAATTTAGCAGAACCCAACAAAGCTGCAGTCAATTTGTAAGGGCAGTCCGCAATTGCGTTTCAATGTCGAAACGACTAAATGTCACTAATAGAGGCGTTTAAATTGTAACACCGTTTACGACAAAGCTCTTTTCTGCCATCACATCCATTGTGCTATTTTGTCGCTTTTCCCGTTCTTTATTTTTTTTTTAAATTCTTTTCCTTAGTTCCTTCCTTCCTGAAAGGTGTCTGCATTGAAGTGACAACTCCGTCCGAGTCAAAGATACCTCATTATTTCCGATTCCGAGCGTTTCGTTTTGTTGCTGTTTTTGTTGTTGTTACCTCGTGCCTTCTCTTCTCTTTCAATATCCATTCGGGCTGCTAAACCACTTCTCCGCCCGGGGGGCTGCAAAGCGAAGAAAACGGAACACCCCTTGGGGCGCGCGCTGAGCAAATAATAGGAAACCTTATTCAAATTTCCGACCTTTTTTTTACGCCGCCAACTTCTATCGCCTCCACTTCCCACAAGAAACCTTAGTAGAAAGTTACACATGCACACGAGTAGTAAAAAAAACGAAGATTTGAAGAGAATATATAGAAAAAAAAAACAACTTCATTTAGATTTTTTCTCAGCTTTGCATTTAAATTAATGTTTTAATTATACAACATTTACTTTCCTTCTTATATTTCGTGACAATAAGTTAATTATTCACTATTTAATATTAATGCAGATTTTTCATGAAATTAATAAGTATTTAAAATTTAAAAATATATATTATAGCTTTTATAAAAGTAACGCTAAATTTTAATAAAACTAAAGTCGATTATTTTAGTTAACTTTATAACATAATTATATTTTCATGAAAATGTTAATATAATTAAGCGCATATATGAAATTAATTTAAAAGTTAAAATCATAATAGTTTGCATTATTACATTCAATATAAAGTAGATTATCCGCGGTAATTTGATTATAAAAACAGATATTGCAGTGTATAAAATACTGTAGAATTTAGTTGTTCTAAAGTCCTATGTTATTCAAACCAAAATGGTTTATTCTAAGTTAGTCCATAATCTTAATAATAACTGTCCATAGTTATAATAATTAATAATTTAACTAATTCATTCATTAGTTTATTTTAAACCCTATTGCTATAATTTCAATATGAAATGTAAGTTTGTGTTTATATTTATATATATTACTTATCGTTTTATTATGTTTATAATATAGTTTGGAGGTGTGTTTTGCGTGAAGATTGTTGTGATTTTGTTCTGCGATTGGTCTTAAGAAAGAGGAGGAAACCGGAGGGAAGGTTTCCCATTGGGGATCCGCGTTGCGTGACGACGGGGCGGAGCTTTCTTTATTAAATTTACTTTAAGAAAGTCTCCTTCGAGACGTTCCCACCCACAGACGGATCGCTCCAATCCACGGTAGTCCTGCCGCGGATCGATCATCCTTCCTAGAATATCGAGGCTAATTTGCTGCCGTTTTCCAATTCCTCTTTTTTATCTTGCCATTCTTTATTTTTTTTTTCGCCTCGCAATTTCGTTCTTCGCCCCGCAGCGCAAGGACAAAGAGGTTCGAGTTGGCGGTGGAACGTGCGGATCCCCAGGCCGTCCGTGGATGTATGCCATTGTTTGTTTCGTTCTGACGATGCTTCTGCTGCTGCTGATGATGATAATAATAATAAGTATCCTACTTACAGGACATTACGTCCTGATAATAATGTCTCCATCCTACCGTGTCTCCTCTGCTCTCTGTTCGGGCGAAAAGCGTTCACAAAAACAGACCAGAAAGAGAACAGGATGCTCTCATCATCATCATCATCTAACAACAACAATAACAACCAGAGAGCAAAACCAATCTGAGATTGTAAACTGGTTTTGTGTCATTCTTCCCGTGCTGATTCGCAATTACGCCTTTGTTGCTGAACGGTACGGTTTTATTGTTGCTGCTTTATTATTCGCTGATCTTTGACCAATAAGGATAGGCCGGAAGTCGAGTAGGAGTAACCACCTCGCCTTCTTCGCCACATGCACGATGCGACGTGCGTCACTTCCGGTATCTCCCATTCCACCTGCGATGCCAATCGCATTGTTCCGATCTCAATTACCTCGCGCCGAAGTTGGCAAAGTTTTTTTTCGTTCGTTTGTTGTACACAAACTCTTTTTTTGTATTATTATTACCTTGGCGGCTTCCGGTTTCGCATTCAACTCGTATAAATAAAGAGAGAATAAATCACACGGCACGAAAAGAAAACACCGCTAATTAATCTCAACTTCCTGTTACCTAACCTCCAATTTAATCACATGTAACAAATTCAGTTTCAATTTTAATTGTATATTAATCATATTTAAATTGTTTAATATTTGAAAATAATGCAATTAATTGTAAGTGAATTTAATTGACTTTGAGTGAGCAAACTGTGTAATTATTCATCAAACAAGAATGTGTGTAAAAAAAGTGGTTAATAGATTGCGATGGCGTATGTATTGATATGGCATTTATCGTCTTTCCGTTTCCGTTAGTTATCGTCTCTTTGGAAACCAAAAACAAGACAAGATGTTACACATTGTTATCATTCCTTTCATTTGTTATCGCTGATGGCATTCGTCAAATCTATATATTAATGATAGTTGTTAAATAGTTTATTAAAAGACTGTTTCAGCAGATGTGAGTCAAGATGCTGCGCTTATGTATACATATTTTTATAAACTTCACATTTCTTTATGTTATTCTTAATTACGACTGCTAATTCTTGGGTAAATATAAAGGCTTTTGTGCTCGACGGCAAAAAGGCCTTTTCCTCTCGTAATATACTCTCTTCCAGTACACTTTTTCTCTCTACCTTCTCCCGTTTATGGCTCTTTCTTCTTGGGGGCATTTTCTTTGATGAATTCGCGCGGTTTGTTTCTTTCAATTAATAAATCTACGGACCGAGTTTAGCGCTGCTCTGCGTCCCTTTTCTCCTTCGAGATAAAGAAAAAAAAAAGAAGGGAGAAACATGGACCAAAAGAAATGATCTCTCCAAGCGGAGGAGACGGATTAGGGTCGTAAATGCGCATGCAACAGAAAGAAGATTATAAGAAAACTTACCGTGTTTTGAAGGGAGGGATAACGTGGGGTGAGTTATAGTCCATTTACTTAGTCTGAAACAGAAGAAGAGAAGCATAAAAATGGGTTAATTAGTAATTGGATTATTATTCGGTGGGCGTTAAGATTGTTCTTTCTGGATGCGATCTAGAGTTTCGTTTTGTATGATTAAGAGTTTTAGTTTACATATGATGCAGATACGAGGCGTGTGCAGTGCAGTGGATACGGGCGCAATTGGGTCGACGTGTTTGGATTGCGAGGTTCTTTGAACGGTCGTCGTCGTCTGGAAGCGGCAAGATTTCTACTTCACCCGCATTCCTGTTTTAAATTTCTAATTTTATTTAATCAATAACGAAATTAACCTCTTTAGATTGTGAGCGGTGTTTTCCAGCGACTTTGCGTTCGACTTGCACACTAACTAGATTATACTACACTTCACCTCACCTGGTCTCTATAATACAAGAACAAAAGAATACATTTCGCTTATTGGATTTAGCAAATTGAGGATTTGTTTTTACAACGAAACGAAAACAACACCGATATTTCCATTAGTGTACATTCACATGTTTAAAAAACATATGTATTCAAATCATTTGTATCAAAACCACGTCTGTCTATTATTCCATTAACTTATAAATAATTTGCAATAAAACATAAAACATGCGTAATAATTAATCTACAAAAAATAAACTATAATTTCTTAAACTTGGACTAAAAGAAATAAATACAAATGTATAATATATTTCACATGAGGCTAAAGAGAGCCGCAAAACGGTTTTTTTTTCTATAAGAAAATAAGCACACATAGAATATGAAATAGAAATTAATTATTTCAAAATTTTAGTAATTAAATTCAAATATAATAATGAGAGCCGCAGTTGACTCAAGAATTAAAAAAAGAGATAGTTATTTGCACTTATATTGTGTTATAAGAATATATAAAAACAATTATGCAATAATTTATGAATTATATTTTACGTGTTATTAAATTACGCAGTATTTCACAAGATTTTATAAATACAAGTTATTAAGAAAATGTTCGAAATGATTGAACTGACTGAAAGCGCCATCTACATTAAATTTATACAATAATTTGTACTTGGACTAGTTGCCTAAGTACTACAATTATATAAAATTAAATAATATTAAATATTTAGTTAAAAGTTTTGTGTTTAATTTAAATTTTTAAAATTCATATAAATAATTAAAATTGTTTGTGTAGATTGGTCATGAATTATTTATTACCGTTTGAAAATAAGAAATGCAAGGCAAATTTTTGAGAATGAGATCAATCCTATTGATGTATAATGTGTTGCATAATCATTTGAAAACTTGAACGAAAATAAAAATGTAGATAAGATAATTGTATTTATACTATTATCTAAGTATGTCATGATAAAATGTAATTTCATTTGTATAAGTTTTAAATTTTTGCAAGTATTTACGTTATACAATAATTGTAAATATTGATGATTTATCAAAAAAAAAAATACTGATTTTCATAATTGTTCAATTTATTATTTTATTATTGAGATACATTGGAACTTCGCTTAACGAGTTTAATCCGTTCTAAAAGTTCCGGATTTTTACACGTATAGTGAAAAATACTCAAACATATTCAAAAATACACAAATTTTAAAAATGATGTAGCAGGCGCACAATCCGGGACTTCTGTTTTCATCGTCACTCGTTATGCGAAACGTTGTTCGTTAAGCGAGTCATTTTTCTAACAATTCCTTTTGCTCGTTTAACGAAATGCTCGTTAAGCGAGGTTCCGCTGTACTTTATTTGTTTTGAAGAAGTTATTGAAACATACGGTAGTTTCGTAATGCAATCAAGACTACACTTTTTCTCATTGCAAAGTTTAATGATCAGTTTGGGTATGTTGAAGAGGAGGAGGTAATTGTCCGCGATTACCGTAATTTGTGGTGCAATACAGAATCGGTTTTCCAAAGCCGCATGTTATTTTACACGCAATATTTACGATCCCATCACCACCAATAAATATCGCTTTCCCTTTCAGTCACAAAACACACACAATCACATCAATTGTCATAAATTATAAGCAAATAATTATAGATTGGGATCCATCCTTTTTTTTTATGCAGCCGATTTTGCAATTAGCATTTTCGTCGTTGCACGCAATCCCCTTTTTTTTGCAAGTGGCGTAAATGCAAGGGTTGAAGTAAAAAAATAAATAAATTTAGATGCATAACATATTCGGAAACAACGTGAACGCTCCGCGTGGCATTAGTTGCAATTACCGGTAACCATTTCCGGACCGGAAATGGCAACAAGCACAGGGGGAAAACGCATGCGCCTTGTTGCCGCCACCCCACCGATACTACAACTCAATCTCACCTGTCCAGACTCTACTCTTTTTCTACCGTAGAAAATAATCAGTGTGTATTTGTGTTCTTTTTTTTTCAACAGCCGACCCCTTCCCCGCACGTTTATTTATTTTTTTACTTTCAATCTTTTCTATTTTCATTTCGCTCGCGCACGCTAATTACACGTACGTTTCTTTTCACGTTTCCTGCAGAGAAGCATGCACAGGAAATATAAAGAGAAATAGAGAAGGAAATAGCGCTGACAAAAAGCAGGATTTCCATATGGAAATTATGAAATGTGTACATATATATACACATAATTTTTATATATATATATATAAAAAAATGTGAGTAAAGCTAAAGAGTGGGTAGAATAATAATAATAAGGGCAGCTCGTAATGATGATCAAGTGGAAAGGGGTTAATAACTGAAGGAAATGCAGCAATTAAGATAATTAATGGATTTTAATTGTTGTCGTTGAGCGATTAATTTCTCTCGCCCATTAAGTCCGGTGTAATCGAAGAATTATTCGATTTCTAATTCACAACTAATCACGATTTGTTTTCTGATTAATCCCTTATTAGATAAGTTCTTCATTCAAATCTGAGGAACGTGTGATTATTATTTTACTATTAATTAAAGTATTCTTACCACAAAAATTTAAATTACTTACAAATCATAATTAAGTGATTAAGTGATTTTAGCATTTGCACAAATCACCTAAAAACCGTTAATGTTATTATAATTGAAGTAATTGAAACAAAATGAAAATACATTAAGAATGTTGCAATTATTGTAAATTTGTTTAATTTTAGCTTAAAGTTTGTTCAATTTTTTTAGTTCTTATTTAAAAAATATCTATTGATTAAGCTGAAATAAATGAAGAAAAAGTAATTTAAATTTTTTTTAGACTTAATTGGTATACAGATTAGTATTGGAAATTGCAAACTGAAAGAAAATATAATAAATGAAGAACAAATTGAATTTTTGAATGTAATAATGATTCCTCTTTTATTGTAAAACGTTTGTAAAACAAATCATAATTAAAAATAAAATTAACATTAGTTGTTAAATGCTTTTAATGTTTATAATTATCATTAGCATAAATCATTTATAGAATTGAAGTAATTTTAATAAAAAAAATAGCTTAAAGTTTGTTAAATATTTTAGTTCTCATTTAAAAATCTATTGATTAAGATGAAATAATAGAAGAAAAGTTTTTTTTTAATTTAGATTTAATTGTATACTAATTAGTATTTGTAATTGATAAAAAATAAAATAAATTAAGAACAAAATTGATTTTTTTGAATATGCGAATACACTGATTCCTTTTTGAATTAGTTTGTAAATTTTGTATACAATTTAATTATAAAAATAGAGTTTTGTTTTGTTTGGTAAAGATTGTAAGAAAAGTTTAATAGAATGATGTTATTAAGTATTGTTTTTCATTTCATTTGCTAAAATAGGTTGAAGAGGTTTTGCAAGAAGTAAAGCATGGGAGTTTTTTGTTGGTAAAAATTGTAAGAAAAGTTTAATAGAATTATGTAATTAAGCATTGTTTTTCTTTTCATTTGCTAAGATTGGTTGAAGAGGTTTTGCAAGAAGTACAGCATGGGTGTTTTTGTTTGTAAAGATTGTAAGAAAAGTTTAATAGAATTATGTAATTAAGCATTGTTTTTCTTTTCATTTTATAAAATTGGTTGAAGAGGTTTTGCAAAGAGTAAAGCATGGGAGTTTTTTTGTTGGTAAAGATTGGAAGTACAGCATGGGAGTTTTTTTGTTGGTAAAAATTGTAAGAAATCTTTAATAGAATGATGTTATTAAGTCTTGTTTTCTTTTCATTTGCTGAGATTGGTTGAAGAGGTTTTGCAAGAAGTAAAGCATGGGAGTTTTTTGCTGGTAAAGATCGTAAGAAAAGTTTAATAGAATGATATAATTAAGTATTGTTTTTCTTTTCATTTTATAAAATTGGTTGAAGAGATTTTGCAAGAATTAAAGCATGAGAGTTTTTTGTTGGTAAAGATTGTAAGAAAAGTTTAATAGAATGATGTAATTAAGCATTATTTTTCTTTTCATTTGCTAAGATAGGTTGAAGAAATTTTGTAAGAAGTAAAGCATGGGAGTCTTTTGTTGGTAAAGATTGTAAGAAAAATTTAATAGAATGATGTGATTAAGTATTGCTTTTTGTTTGTTTCTCAAAGATTGTTTGAAGTGGTTTTGCACGAAGTATAGCACGTGGACACGTGGAGACCACGTGTTTGGCGCGTTGCGTTTAATGAACAGTCGTTGTGGTCGACCGCAATTAACCATAATGTGTAAACTAGTGACCAAATTATGTACAGAGTGAGAGTGTATGTGTATGTCGAGGTGCGGGGGTGGAGGCGTCGGCGGCGGCTACCAAAAGCAGGGGGGAAGGGAGGAGCGGAGGTGTCATTGATGCTCCGCGCCCGATTGATATCGCACATGTGTTTAGCAAAATACATTAGTGAATAATCTATTAACACTGCCGCTATATACATCGAATGCACTATATACTATATAGTAAAGGTGTTAATGTGTTGAATACTACAATTACACGTCGATTATTGTTTGCCAACGCTAATTTGCGCCTTCTGTAAGACGCAAGTTTTGTCATCAGCTGTTGAAAGGGTGTGCAATGCACACGCGCTCAATAACAACAAAAATAAAAAAAAAAGTTATGTACAGAACGAGAGAGAATAAATGAATGAATAACAATAAACATATTTATGTTCGGTCATTTTATTAATTATGAATGCACGCGAATTGGAAGTCAATTATTTACAATCGATGTAGTTAAACGGCGAGCAGTGCTGTGGAGGGGGCGGCGGACACTGTATAGGTCAGTGTCAAATATGTGTGAATATTAATGTAATTGAAACTGATATTGTATTTAATAATTAACCTGTTTATTGGCTGGACCGATTAAATTTTTAGCGCCCCAATTCACCGCCGACCGACCAACCTCCCCCCTCCCTTCCCATCAACACTACACCAATAATATTATATATTTTGAGCATAAATAATAACCGATTACGATTCAATTCATAAATGCGTTCATTTAACTTTTGTTTTTTTTTATTTCAGAAAAAAATAATAATATAATGAAAATAAATCGATGGACGCATTAATTATTTTCGAGATTATGAATGGATCTTTCGCTTGCTGCAAGCTAGGCCACCGCAGACGCAAACCTTACGTCAACAAAGTTGCATAACCGCGTCGACCAATTTTAACACACTATTAATTTTACTTACACGCCAAGCAATTAGTTCGGCATGTTTGATTGTAAAGTTACAAAATCACTCATTAAATCTATAATCTCATTCAATTGATACGTTACTATTTAATGCAATCAATTAATTCCATTATTTTACCTTAATATCTAGGAATTTTATATCTCAATGAATTAAACACAATTGTTATAAAAGCTTTGCAAATTTACATAATTGCTATAAACATTTTCTAAAATTGAATGTTTCTATTATTGATTTTGAGTGCACTTTTTTTCTATTAATTTATAATATAATTTATTTATTTTGGTGGATGCGACGGGTCTATCCACACTTATGACCTTTATTAGTAGTTTTGTGTAATTAGAATAAGAGATTTAGAAGAAATAATATAAAATTATATAAATAGACTAATTATGTTTTTTGTAATTATTTAACAAAAGTTTACTGAAAATAACGAAATCAAAATTTGATTCAATGAAATAAGTATTAATTTAATACATTTTTGAATTTTTTTTTGATTTAATTGCTTTCTTATAAAATATAATTTTGTAGTGTGTTTACTTAAATAAGTTAAATACTTTATTTTTATATGTATTTTGTATATTATAAGAATAGTAATTATGCAAGTGCGTCACGTAACGTGTGTACTAAATGACTGATTCAAGCATTCTATGTGAAATACAGTAGAACCTGTCCTTTTACGGTCCATTTTTATGCGATTTTTTTTATGCGGTTGATGAAATCCAACCAATTCCATTGTAATATTTTCTATCAGCGTGCATATGTACAGCCTGCTTAAACGATTCTGTTAGTCATTTTTTGACCAATTCATCACAAGAAGATGCGAGTTTTGGATTAACACGAGAAACACTGAATTATGTATATGCATTTTTGAAAATTTCTCCATATGTACAATGAGAAATGTGTAAATTAATTAATTATTTTGTTTGGATGCACTTTCTCATGTATTTCGTAAATCTTTGGCGTATTTTCTAAGTTTCTGTAATATATTAAGTTATTTGTTATATGTAAGATTTTTTTTTGTGCGGTTTTTATCTACCGAACAAAAGCTGGTTTTACTGTATAATGTTTTTAGAAGTTTTCAAAAGTTATCGTCGCGTTTGAAAATCTTATAAATATCTGAAATATTTTAAACAGTAGATTAATCAAGAATTTATACTTAAATTCTGCATTATTAACTTGAACAATTATTACAACAAAAGGAGAGAGTTGATAGGTTAGGTATAAAAGCGATAAAAAAAACAACAAACAAAACACAATAATAGCGTATATATAATATAACGACAATAAAAATAAAAATAAAACAACGGCACAAAACATCGATTTTTATTCACAAAAAAAAAACAGCAAACAACGTCAACAAACGTAAAATAATAAACACAAAAAAAAACAACAAAAAAAAACGTATAGATATAATAAATAGAGGAAGCAACTTCAAAGAAAATTATAATAAAAGAAAAATATAATGATAATGTTAATTAATTAAACAAAGAATTTTTATGTTTTGATGAATATAAAATAAATGTAAAAGATGCGTATGATTCAGGTGGTAGAAATTATATTATGGCATAAAACTCGGTTAAAACGTAAGAAATAATTTGATAATTCTAATAAGGAAAATGTGTAGTAAATTAAATTAAGAATGATAGAAATTGTCTTCGTTGTTAATTAAAGTGTTGGAATATATTTTTTTTGCAGAACTTAAAACACGTTCATTTCAGCGTTTGGACAACAGAAAATTTCGACAAAATTCAATTTATTTTTTCACTAAACTAACTGAAATTAAATTAAATGAAAAATATAGTATTAACACCAATTCAAAGCCAGTAATTTAATTGAACTTATTTCGAAGTTTTAGTTTTTTTTTCGTATCGGACTTAGAATATTTTCTGATCAAGTTGAAAATTCAACTAAGTCCTTTTCATTTTACAATTACTGGAATAAAACTAAATCAGTCAGTACATTACTAATTTACAATGTGATTACAAAATTAATACCTTCAATTACTTATGATTTTGATTTATAAATTAACTTTAATTAAAAAATTTAAAGATTTTTTCTTTTATAATTTTTTCTAATTATAAAAACTTAACGCGAGGTTTGTAATAAAAATTAATAAATGTGATTTAATTGTTTGTTAATTTTTGTAATTTGTAATTTTTAAAGATTTTATACTAGCAAATTCGTTTTGAGACTAAGTCCGATAAGTCCGGGATTATTTCACTTTTATTTAACATTTTTAATAAATAAATTAGTTTTGTTAGAAATACAATTTTATTTATTGATTGAAATGAAAATTTATTACTTATTAATATTTTAAAGGTTTTACGAAAATCTATTCTAAGTCCGATTCGAAATATTTAGTTTTTATTCTATAGAATAGAAATATTATATTAATATTTTTATACTCACTGCGCTTCGTTTAATGTGTTATTTGAGATTTACTTTACTTTTAACGATAAAATTTGCTTTGATCAACTTGGTGATTTAAAAAAAATAATTTACTTACATTTATGTTTTAAATTAAATTAACGAACTGGGAAGGTTGTTGTGTATTGTAAAAATTTGTAACGAAATCGCGTTATGTTTGTCGGTTTCGAGCGATTGTTCTGTGTGTTCGGAAGAGGGAATCGTCGGACGGGCGAAACAGAAGAGATTGAATTTACAGATTCCGTCGCGGAGGGACATTTACGTTTAGCGGAAAAAGCGAACGAGTGGAAGATAAATACAAAAAAAAGGGGTTGGATGTTGTTGTTGCTGTATTACTGTGCGGACAAAATAAATGTGTATATTTCTGCGTTACCGGAGGGGACGATGTTTTATGTTTGTTTGATATTCGAAAGAGAGAGAGAGAGAGAAAAAATATTCGTCCGAGATTTTCAGCAGAAAAATAAATAATATTAATGATGATAATATTAGCATTATTGATAAATATTTTTTGAAAAAATTAAATTAAATGAAGTGTTTTTTTGCTAAGAGATATTTCGATGTTTGTGAGTGAGTGAGTGTTAGTTGAATAGAAGGGTGAAGAGAACCGGTCCATGCATACGTACTCAAATACAACAGAAAACATCCACATGGGGTGACTCTATTAGGTTGTGAAAAGTTCGTTTACCTTCGTTTGTTCTTTCTTGTCCGAGAACCGAAAAAAGAAAAAAATAAAAAAATAAAATGAAAATTGAAGAGCGTAACTGGGAACTAGATGAAGTTATCCATGGTTTGAATGTTTGTACGCGTGTCCTTGTTTGGCGTTGCGAAAGTTTATTTTCGTTGGATATTCTTCGGTTCTTCCAGTTATTGCGCTAATTTCACTTTGCTGCTAATGTTAAAGTCCATTTTGCCGGCTCTCGTTTCCTCCCCGAATTGCTTTTGTAACTTGTATCGCGAGAGATGAAGTTCGTCGAGCACAGAATTGGATGTATAGCGTTTTAGTGTTCGTTCGCGCACTCAAAAATCCAGTCGGAGTAACAATAGAAAAATCAAAATCAATGAATGAAGTAACGAAAAAGTAAAGAACCGAAGCGCACACACAAACACACGCACCGCCGACTTGTTGTTTGTTTGTTTGTTGTTGTTGTCGCCACTCTTAGCTGTGTGTCTGAAGTCGCAAGTCCCAAGTCGCCGACTGGGGATGTTAGGTAGTAAGCGAGCGTCGCGACGCTGAATCGCGTTCACCCTGCGCGCAGCGGATTGCATTCGCTGGGCACGGGCACAGAGTAAGGTCCTTACGCGACGAAGGATACCGAAGGAGTGAGAAGGCGAGCCGAGCTAAGACATGGGTATAAGGCCGAATCCTTTTGGGGAAAGGAAACGACGGCGGCGGCGGATGCAGGATGCTCGGCCGACGACTGACGGAAGACGTCGCGGGAGGGAGCGTCGCGCGCCGGCGTCGCCACCCTCTTTCTCTCTCTCCCTCTCTAAGGGGGGCCCCGAAAACCAAGCAAGCAAACCGAAACCCCCCTACCCCGTCCCCCTAGACGATGCCCGACGACGCTGCCGACGCCGCCGCCGCCGCCGACACGCCTCCCCCCTTCGTACCCTTCTTCTTCTCCTTCTCGGGGGGGAGATTCTTCTCCTCACGCGTCGCGTCCCCCAAAATCGCCACCAACCCCTTCCCACTCCCACCCTGCCGCACGCGCGATAATTAAGTTTGAAAACTTTGAAAAAAAGATTTTTGAAATGCGCTCGCGCTATTTAACAAGTACTTTTACCAATTTAAGAAAAAAATAAAAAAAAAAAAAGGCTTTTACAAAAGCGAGCACCAAAAACATATTTTCATGATGAAAATCTGGGAAACAATTGCGGGACGGACTACATCTATGTACACGGGATAGATAACAAACGGGACGACGAAAAACAAAAAGAAATTGCATTCCAATCACGTCGCCCCTTCTCAACAATGCGTGATTTTTTTTTAAATTTTCCATTATTCGTTTTTTAACTATTTTTAATTTTCCTTATTTTCATTTCAACTACCACGCTGAATTTATACCTCAACTCATACATTATTTATTTTTTTTCAAAACTTCTACTTTATAAACAAAAAACAGTTCTAAAACAATCATGCAAACTAATTGTGTTTTATTTAAATTTCGCACTTCTTAATAATCACTCGTCAGATCCGATCCACTCGATGTAAAAAGTAAAAAAAACATAGTACATAGATAAATATATATATATTTATATATATTTTTGTTGTATATGTATTCTTACTATTTAATTTACTTTTTACTTTTACTTTCAGTTTCGTGCACTTTAATCCAGATTGAACTTCTCGTCGCACTTGAACTTCACTTGGTTTTAAATTTTTGGCGTGTGTTTCTTAAATTTGCGCTTGTTTTCTTTCGCTTCTCTTACCTTATTTATGCAGTTGCTCTTGATGTTGTTGATGTTGACGTTGGTTTTGTTGTTGTTTTGCCGGTGTTGCTGTTGTTGTTCTTGTCGTATGGTCGGTGTGCAGTTTTTTTTCTTTCTGGTGAATTTAGCGATTCTGTAAACGGAACGTTCCTTGTCGGGTCTTAGGAAAGGCGGCGCACACATGTAGCAGCGTTAGTATTATTTTTAGTATTAGTAGTAGTAGTAGTAGTAGTAGTAATAATATAGGAATCAACACACTTAGGGGACATGGTCATGAATGCCCTTCTTGTGGCACACTATCAGCCCTTACTGCGGAGTGGGGAGGACGCATGAGCAGCGTCGCGACGCCAAGGATGCCGATGAGTGGCGCCGCGGAATTGAAGCGGCCAAAACGATGAACTAACATCGATGCCACCCCGTTTTACCCTTCTTCCTCCTATCCAAGGCCTCCTCGATCTCGATCAGTTTCTCTCTACTCCACTCCGGCAGCTCCAGTCCAGAGCTCTCTGGTCAAAAGCTTTTAACCGTTTAAAACCCATTCCTCTTTCTCTCTCACACACACATACGCATACATACACTCTCCGGAATACAAACTCACTTTATATTTACATCTCTCCCTTTCCCACTCACTGCAATTTCGCATCCAACTACACTCACTAATTTTCACACAATGCACAAACAAATTCACCAATCGAACATGATTGAAAAAAATACCATGGGAGAAAGTACACCTAAAATTAAAATGAAAAGAACCACAACATCAACTCTATGATAGACAATTATTCAGCAAACACAACATTTCAATGTCTTCCAAATCAAAACCAATTTCGACATTTCCAATTAACAAAAATAAAATAATATAAACTAATTTGTATAAATAAAAAGACAGCTATGTCTTAATTTTATAAACTTTTTTTACAGTCAATTAACATAATTTACCCGGCGCGTCCACCTATATGTGTGTGTAAATTCTTTTGTGTTTAATTTTTTGTTACAGCAATGATTTTTTAGATTTAGATTGTGTTAAATCTATTTACCATGCAAATACAAATAAATCTTAATGGGTTTTGTTTTAAATTCGTGCGTGGGCAGCTGCAACTTTGAATTCTCTTTCGTCTTCTGACCATTAAGTGCGCAGACAAACCACATTGGAGGGTGTCAAGAAGAACAACAGTAGGAGCTGCAACTGTGTCCATTTCAATTAAAACGGACTCCGCTTAACCACCGCTCACTTAGATCGATGACAATTACTGCCTTTTATTGCATTTCAGATGCTAGCATCAATTAGTGCAAGTCTCCAAGTCCGACGAAAACCATCTGGATCTCATTCAATCTCAAGAGATGCACTCCAATTAGTATAAGCAATGAAAAGAACAATATATAAATTAGTAATTAATGATAATTCATTTTTGAATTTCTCGACAAATATGATTATATAATGCTTTTATAATATCAGCAAATCAGTAAATATTGTAAGCGAATTAAATTACTGTCATCAATAAAAAGCTTTGTCCAAGAAATTATAGATATAAAATGCTTATAAAACTTGTAATTTAGAGCTTTAAACATTTCGTTTATTGCACAAACATTTTGAAAGTTATATTGAAAACTAATTGATCTAATGTCAAATTATTAGGAAAAATTGCCAAATGGAATTAGTTAACAATATAAATAAAGAATTTCAAGTAAATGTCATACTTTTTTTTCAATATAAAATTAAAAATCAATAACTTCTGTACAAACAGTAGTATTTAAGATATTTTAATGTTCGTTTTGTTTTATGATACTAGTGTTGCTTCATTACGTATTACATGCGCGAGCGTACCTGGTTAGAAAAAACATGAAATTTTGTGGATTACAATATTTCAATCGGATTTTAAAAAATGCACACACACAGATATATATATATTTTTTAAATAAAAGTCACAGATGATTTCGACCGAGGCACGTGCGGCGGGAGGAAACGGGGGGATGGGATGCAAAACGCGTCGGGGGTCGCGGCCCATTCGAAAACGCCGCCTATCGATCGCGGGGGGCCGTGGGATCACTCGTCCTTCCGCCGAACGAGCTTTAGTTGGCAACAACAGGTGTCCCCCCACCTATATATGCATATAGTCTGTATGCATTCGCACACACTCATACACTCATAGAGAGGAAGAGAGAAAGATAGAGATAAAAATGCAACATAGATATAGGAAATAAATGCGAGCGAGGGAGAGAGAAAGAGAGAGAGAAAATAGAGAGCGATCCCCAAACTTTTTTTTTTATTGTAATTCCTCGTTTCATTTATTTATATACTTTTTTCGCGATTCTCTTCCCCCCCTTCATGCGCGTATTTACAAATACAGGGAGCGTAACCCCCCGACCCGCCAATTTTTTTCGGCCCGTTTTATTTTTATATTTTCAATGGTAACAGCAATGACACCTATTAATACACTTTACGGTTTTTATTCCCTTTCTACAATTTTCACCCCAACATTTTTTTTTATTCCCTATATTTTTTTCGATTTCATTGACGACCCGATCAAATGTGCCTTTTATTAATTATGCAATATTTTTTTTTATTTATTTGTTTATATTCATCAACGTAACTGACGTACGCCTACATTTTTAATATATATGTATTTTTTTTTTTTTTGGTAGGATGGAAGTAGTAATTTTATTTTCGCATTATTGGCAGCGCGAATCGATTGATTCATGCACGCCCTCCCCCCAAATGCGTACAGTGTACCACATTCTTTTTTTTTTTCGTTTTGTTTTCTCATTTTGCGTTTGCATTTTATTTCATTCTTTATTCTGCCTGTGTTGTTTTGTTTCGTTTCGTTTTGTTGTGCCATTATTATGTTTTTTTTTTGTTGTTGCTGCCACGTCACACGCCCCCGCAACTGCGCGATTTTTTTGGTTTTATTTCCCGGTATTCTTTTTTTTTTTAATGGCGATCTATTTATTTTTATTTGGGGTAGGTTTTTTCGCGTCGACCGTGAATTTTTACGCGCCGCCCTTCATTTTTTCGCGTGTTTTTATTTACCGGCTGTTTAGTTTTTTTTTTNNNGCAAAGTTGAATGAAATCTGTTCGCATTTACATCACGAATTTAGGATATTTTTATACGTACCTCATATTCATCTTAAAATACGAATTTTATTACCTTTTTTGTTTCGCATGATTAATTACTATAGGAGTTAGTATAGATGAAAGTGAAGAAGATAAATTTGAAAAAATATTTTCGTAACATGAAAATAACTTTCAATATTCGGAAACAAAGTTGGACTTTCAAAGACAGAACAAGTGGTGCAACAAAACAAAACGAAGCAGTATATGCAGGATATAGTAGGAACTAAAACGATGGAAATGAGTTTTTAACAGTAGCGTTTCAATTAGCCCACGTTACTCGCGCGAAATCTATGAGACGCAAGTGGGTACAAACTAACCATAAATTTTTAAAACTGAAGAAATGGGGCAATCTCGACCTATGTACCTTTTTCATACTGACTGACGATTTGTAAAAGTAGCGTTACAATTAGCCCACGTTACTCGCGCGAAATCTATGAGACGCCAATGGGTACAAACTATCCATAACTTTTTAAAACTGAAGAAATGGGACAATCTCGACCTATGTACCTTTTTCATACTGATCGACGATTTGTAACATTAGCGTTTCAATTAGCCCACATTACTCGCGCAAAATCTATGAGACACCAATAGGTACAATCTAACCATAACTTTTTAAAACTGAAGAAATGGGGCAATCTCGACCTATGTACCTTTTTCATACTAACTGACAATTTGTAAAAGTACATCCCGACATTTTAAAGAAATACGGATTAACAGCAAAATATTCTTAGCAGAGTCTATCAGACGACATGCGAGTAGTTCTAGAATATTTTATTTTACCATTATTGAAAAGTCGTAATATCTTTCATTATTTCCAGAATCTTATCAATTAGTGCTAAAGTTATATTTAACAATGTTTCTTAGACGCCACG